CTTTCAACACTGCTCAGCTCAAAGGAATTTGATAACCATCATGCTCCAAATAAATCACGTCAACAGCAGATGACTGGCAAACCTTCCTCAGAAGTAAAAGATACCATCCCAACTCCACATGCATGCTCTTGTCTGGTGGATTTCTTTATTTTCAGTGTGAATGCCATGGTCCTGAGTAAGGGGCTACGCGGTATGTCGGGACCTGTATCAACCGCCTTAAGTCACTCAGTTATGGCAAGAGAAACGCTACAGTCCCAACCCCCGTGCCCTAAATGCTGATTGTGCCTCCGGAGCACTCTCCTGGTGCCATGGAAATCTCGCTCTAGTCTACCAGGAGGGGAATGGCCAGCCCCTGGGAGGCTCTGCCACATCCCCAAATGCCATCTCACTGGGATAAAGATCTCAAAGGGGCTAATGAAATCATCTCCTCCGCCTTTTATTCCTCAGAAACAACCACAAAATTAGATGAAATGACCCCCTGCTCCTCTAATTTAAGGCCTATTTTATTACCTTCGACCCCAATTCTCTCTCTTTTAAACGGAGATGAGACCCTGAAGACCCACAGGCCAGTGGGATTAGTAATTGGCGGCTTCTTCCTCCCGGCCAGTTCTCCAGAGGGCGCGTCTGCTTCCCCCAGGGTGGGGTCACCATCAGTTCAATCTTCATGCTTCAGAGACGTCCCCTTTGAACAAGATCAGATGTCCCCCAGCCCTGCCTGGAGCTGCGCTCAAAGGAGCAGCAGCCCCTTCTCACTCAGAGCATTAATGTCAACTCAGCCAGAAAAACGAAGGCAAAGGAGGAGGTCAGTGTGGTTAATTGTCCACCAGCCTAAATGCAGGCCCACTCAAACCAAAACCTGGGAGGGCTGGTCACCCCATAAAGCGCGAAGTGCACTTTGAACCCAGGAACAAGGAGAATGAGAACTATTTTCCCCAGCCTGCTGGGCTGCAGGGGGAGCTTCGGCTGTTTGTTTTCCTTTTCAGATTGTAGCCATAAAGGGAGAAGGACTTCTTCACAGCAACCCCAAGCAGACAGAGAAAACGCAGGCCAGGCAGGTGAGCACCAGGGCTTGCCTGTCAGGAAGTAAAGGAGAGGAAAAGAGAAGCTTCAACAGAGGTGTTCTAAAGGGACCAACCAAGGCTTCCTCTAGACTTGAAGAAGGAATCTGGGAGAACAGAATTCTGGAAGCCTCAGCAAGTGCTCCATATAAGAAATTCTCAAAAGATTAAAAATAGAAATATCATATGATCCAGTTATTCCATTCCTGGGTATTTATCCAAAGAACATGAAAACACTAATTCAAAAAGATATATGCACCCCTATGTTCATTGTAGCATCATTCACAATAGCCAAGACTTGGAAGCAACCCAAGTGCCCATCAACAGATAAATGGATAAAGAAGATGTGTGTGTATACACACACACACACACACACACACAATGGAATACTACTCAGGCATAAAAAAAGACACCAAATTGTGCCATTTGCAACAACATGGATGGACCCTGAGGGTATTATGCTAAGTGAAATAAGTCAGACAGAGAAAGAAAAATACCATCTGATTTCACTCATATGCAGAAGATAAACACACACACACACACACATAGATGAGAACAGACTGGTAGTTACCAGAGGGGAAGTGGGTGAGGGGAGAGTGAAGGAGTAAAAGGGCACATGCATACGGTGATGGATAAAAATCAGACTATTGGTGGTGAACACAATGGAGTCTATACAAAAACTGATAAACAATAATGTACACTTGAAACTTATACAATGCTATAAACCAATGTGATCTCAAAAAAAAAAGAAGAAGAAATGCTCTATAGGGAAAAGGAATCCTCAAAAATGCAGGGCATTCACTCTTTATCATTAAGAGATAGGGGAGGAAACTTTCTCACTCTCTCTTGCCTATTTGGAAAAGTCACTTTTGTTACTAGCTATCCAAAGTCTTCCTTCCAAATCAGGTCCACAATCCTAAACAGACCCTAAAGAACAGAAGACAGTCATTTCTTAACTGAAAGAGGTCCTGAGAGTAATTAAAACACCACCTCCAGTCCTTTCTGCAAAGCAAATGTCTAAGATATTCCATGTAAAACCAACTTTTCCTGGAAACAAGTACTTATAAGTTTTCTTCCAAATCAACAACAAAACTCCCGTAGTGGATAAGAAAAACCAGCCAACAAATCACAGCTGACGACTGACCTGATCAAAGCACAGAGTGGTTCCTAAATTATGTACTGCCTGCGCTCTGGAAACGGAAAAAAGCAAACTCTTGCCAGAGATCTCGCTACCTGGGTGCAGCTTTCCAATGAAACTTGAAAGCTTATTTTGCAGACTCTGCTTCTCTTCAAAAAGAAAAAAAGATAAAGGCTTCTCCTGGAAAAACCAAGGCGCCTGAGGGGGGATGTGCCATTTATTTTTTTTGTGTCTATCACCAGCCACAGTTAGGGTGCCCAGGCATTGCAGCAATAAAGGCAATTGTCCGTCAGAGACCAGTATGCTAATGACCCTGGAGTCCAAGACCAGAGACCAGGTGCTGTGTCTGCTAGCTGCCTTTGCTCTCATTGCTCCCAAATGTGTACCCTGCATACAAAGGGCCCACCCTGGACAGTGTCTTTGGATCAAGACCAATGCTCCAAAACAGCCATGTTAAACACACACACACACACATATGCCCTGATACACAAATTCTACCATTGAAACACCAGCAGTCCCATCTTTAGAAACGGTAAACATTTCATGAATGAAAGAAAAGCACCTATCAGAAGTCCAAAACACAAAGTTCAGAAGCTCTATGGAAATTCAGGCTCTGTATCACTTCTTGGATTTTCCAAGTAGGATGATGTGGGGTAGTCACGATCCAACTCGAGAGCTCTGTGACGTGTGCCTGAACGCCCACCTGTGTGTGAGAGCCCCTGTGCGGACGAGGACCAGCTCAACAACTTGACGGCTTGACCTACGTCATTTCTTTTCTACCCTGATTAGGATGGTATTATACAACAGGAGGCACTCTGCGAATCAGATATCTCCTGGAAGCTCAAAGAGTTCGTATTATTATGAATTCGTAAGCACTCCCGACGTGTTTGGCGGCGTGAAGACCAGACACACAACTACCACCTTGCATTCAGCTTCTGCAGGGACGGAGCAACATAAAATAGTAGATAAACTTCCAAATTCCAAAAACAGACTAAAAAACAAATCCTACTCATATTTTAACATCTGGGCTTTTAAACTGCAATTTCTTTTCTTAGTTTATTTTTCAAGTATGGCAGACAAACTGGATTCCGCGGAGACTGGAAATTCCTGGGCAAAGCTGAAGTCCTGACTCTAGGCAACCCTAAGAACATGCAGGGGGTCAGCTGAGACTCGGATTTCTTTTGCTGCCTTGTCTTTCACTAAATTCTCCTTCAGGCAGCTGCACAACTGGGGCTCAGCATCAGGGAGAAGACACCATGGTTAGGCGACTGCTTTTACATGGACTTGTTGGCTGGAACCTCGACTAGGTTGTGGAAAGTACATGCAGAAACCAGAAGATGACGTCTTGCTCTTTGCTTAGCGCTGCACACACCCAAACAAAGCGACTGCAAAGGCTGAACGATGAAGAGTGTTAATGTAGAAGCAGGACAAGGCAGGAGCAAAAACTCAAGGCCACACACTCCTACGAAACGTGAAAGTGGTCTTCAGTTAGACTGAAGTACCACCCCCAGGCTTCTGTGAGCTCAGCCACCCACCAGTCCCTGCAAGGACCCAGGCCCCATTCTGGCTCCAACATTTAGGTGAAACACCACCCTGGGGCAGGCTGCTCCCAGCCTGCAGGAGGAAGCAAAATGGCCTCAAGCCAATCAGCATGTCTCTCAAGGACCCCAACTACTAAGAAGTGTGCGGAAAACTGAAATGCACTGATTTAAATGCTTTTTATTAAAATTATTTAAACCTAAACTGTGTTTTCAAGCAAATGCTCAAGCCACTCAGAAATATTTTTATTTTCTCTGGGTTGTTAACTGGGAAACTCTATTGCGTGCTCCCTTACTGGCTACGCATTCCGATGACGTTCAATCCTGTGGCTGACAGGGGTCCCCAGGGTCTGGATGATAACTCTCTCTCCCAGGGCAGCCAAGAGGGCTGGTTGCTCACACCATAGGTTGTCACTTAGTCCATTACTGCCCCAAGGCCTTGCTGCTCAAGAGGAAGACAATGAAACAAAAACTCCTGACTTCTTATCCTTCGCAATAGGGCTAAGAATCTAGACTCCTATTGACTCAACTGTAATATGATAAATTCTGAAGCATGTGTGGCAATGTGAGCAAATAGCCATGTAATTAATCCAAAAGGGCACTCTACAGTCATTTAATTGGTTTAGGACTACATTGTGATTTTTTTGTGGCTGTGCCTTAGTTTAGTTTACTAGGCCATTTTTTTCTCAGACTAACATTCATTCATTTATTGAAAGTCTGTTCCATGCCAGGAACATGCTGGGTGGGAGACGGCGGCGAAAAGAACTTACAGCCTAGAGGAAAAGGTGTGCAAGAACAAGCGAGGAAAGCCTACCATGGTGAGGGCAGCGGGCTGTGTGAGCAGAGAAGCAGCGATTCGTTCTGCTGGAAAGCTGAGGAAAAAGCTATGCTCCAAACAGCCTCTCATTCAGAGAATTTGATAAATAACAAGTGAAATTTGGGCTGGGTCTTAAATGAGGAAAAGGAATTCTAAAGCACCAACTCAAATGGCGGGGAGAAGGGTGCCCAGTGCAAAAGAAAGGGTGTTGAGTGATGAGAAGGCCAGCGACGCCCAGGAGAGAGCCAGCCAGGGAAACATCTTCACCTGGTGACTCTCAACAGGGACAGGGGACCATCTTCCACCTTCCTTAGAGGAGACGGTGCCCTACATTAAAGGACTGCCTTTTTAATGAGTGAGAACTTCGAGTGGTTATCAGAGTGTACCATCAAGGCTAGTTTTTCCCCACAACCTGTGAGCCCGAGCAGGTCCAGGACCCAACCCCTCACCTGTATGACGAGGTGCTCCTTAACGAGATGCAAAACCCACAGGCCAGCTGTGAACTCAAGAGTCTGCTTCCCAGTTTACCTGAAAAACAAGAAACGTTTTGTTAACTTGGAATAGCCAGGCCTCCAATGGTCCCAGTAGAGACCTACAGACCATGCATAAGGCTCCTTGGTCTCAGAGCAGAAAGCCTGGCCAGTGTTACCTGGCCAACGGGTTGGATCAAAGAGACCTGGGTGAGAATCCTGGTGTATGTCAGCGGCAGGGTAACTGGAGGCCAGGTATCTAACCTACCTGTGCCAGGGAATAAACTCCGCGGTTACAGAGACACTGAGGAGCCATAAGGTAACTCAGGGTTGAGCAGAGCCCAGGTTGGCTGCCTCTCTCTTCGCACATCTGTCTTCTCTCTATAAGAAAGAAAAATTACCCCTCCCCGCCAAAAAAGCGTATTTCCATAAAGAGCAAGAAAATTCTCACATCCTTGCCTATGTTTCTATAACTCTTGCTTTTCCTTACAAAACGGGAAAAGTGGGGTCCAAAAGATAAAAATAGTATTCAGATGCACACAGATCATGGTGATACACTGCGAGCCCCAACCACACACAGCTCCTAGGATGTGGCCCTCTTGCCAAGGTCACAGTGAGGATGGGTGAGCTGCAGGACCTCGTAACAAGTCAAGGAAGCACACGTGGCCCCAGGGACCAGTAACACTGCAGAAATCCTTACTGCCTTCCCCGCACCGTGCGCACATCTGCACACCTCAGCTCTCCAGCCTCCTCACCTGCCCTGTGCGTGTGGTGCCCACACCTCTAAAGGCCTTTTACATGTCCCACATGGCCCGTTCATCCCACACCCCACACCTTGCTAACCACATTGAAGATAATGGCTGTTCTGCCATCTCCCCCACCAGACTATAAGCTCCCTGAGGGACTTAATAAGTGTGCGTTGACTCAATGACTGAACACACAGACACAGAGACTCATCTAGATAAGAATTTCAGGCCTGGATTCCATCCCCTCACCTTGACTTGCCCAAGGCCACAGAGCTAGGGAACAGTCATACTGGGGAGGTGGTACAGATGGTTTTCAACGCTTTCTCACATTCACAGGTTGTGTTCCCACCCTCCCTGGGTACCTGTAAATCACTGACCCTGGAAGACAAGGACATTTTATTTTTGCTAAGAATGGGTTCATTTTTCTGTGTTTTATTTTGACACCCTGCCCAGGAGCAGGGCGAAACACCTTGAGAATCTTAGAATCTGGGGCACTATGCCCAATCTAAAGACAGAGCAGGGACTCTGGGGGAGAAGGGGCAGGAAACGGCTGTGGGTTGGGGACTGGGTCACTCTTCATAGAAGTTCCCAGAGTTCTGGTCGCTGGGATGTACTTATGTGTAACTCGGGGCTTACTCAGGCAGCAGATGCAAAGAGTATCTCTCTGCTCGTGTCGGTGCTGTCGTGAAAGCACGCTGGAGCCCTCACACAAGCTTGGCTATGGCCGCACAATGTCCACGTTCAGAGTTTCTTTTTCCATCCAGGAGCTGAGAACTCCTGGATGTCTAGTTAGTCTTCGCAGATGTGAGAGTAGAAAGCAGACACGACAGCACACTTTCTAGGTGGCCTGGGGTCTCAGAGGAGTCAAGCCCTTCTCAAAACTGAGTGGGACAAGGCGCTTGGTGGAGGAGAGAAGGCTCCTGGCCAAGTTCACCTGTGAAGCAGGTGCAGAAACTGGATCATTTCCTCAGCCTTGAGTTTAGCCTCTCTCTCAAAATTAAATAGACTAAAAAAAGAACAAAATAATCCCAAGTACAGTTACCGTTTTCAATCTTAATTTTTATATACAGATCGCCTGGCTTTTCACCACAACTGGTCAAGTATATGTGAAATGGCCACATTAGATAGAAGCATGCCAGACACATTATCGATGATATTAAAGTATTTATAACACACACCACATACCACACACACACACACACACAAATTAAGTGAATGGGAATCAGTTCTGCCTCATGCCCACTCAGGTGTCCTTGGCTCCCTGTGCACCGCCCTACATAGCTGGGGCCTCTGGTCACCCTCTGTGGCCCTGCACCCAGCTCGGCCCTCTGTGCATAGTGCACGCACTTCATTCCATCAGAGTCCACTCTCTTTATCCCCTGATCTTAGCCAACTGATCTTGAGAAGCATTTTATGAAATAATTCCTGTATAAATAACTAATGTATAACCTGTCCTGCGGATGCCTACATATTTAGTTTAAAGAGAAACATTCCACCCAAATTCCTTGGAAGGTAGAATTTTAGGCACAACAGTAAGTGAATTCCACCTTTTGGGTGAGAAACCCTTCCCACACCCCTCTGACCCCAACACAGACCATTTCCCACTTTATCTGTTTCACAAGCTGACTTTGCCCCTAGGGTGAGGCGGAGATGAATCCTGCACTTGTGGCAATGGAGGATAAGGTTGATACAATGTTGTGCAAAGTCCAACTCTTCAATCTATCAATTCACCTGGATTGCAACCAAATTGTCTGTGGAGGATGAGGGGCCCTTCTCCATTCATTTCCAGTCAGCATTTACTTAGGAAAGGGACACACATTATCCCCAGTGCCTGAACCAATGCAGCAGAGGGAGTGGGAAAAGTCAGCTTTGGGACAGTCCTAAGATTTCTCTACAGGTGCCCAAAGCTTATAGCCCAGCACCTCCAAGAATGCCCCAAAGCACGTAATAATCCGTGCCTGTAAAACCTTCTAAAAATAATGGCTCCAGAACTGACTTCCTACACTGTTGACAAAGGACTCTCTAGTGTGGTCCCACCCACGATAAGGGCCTCTCTGTAAGAATGAAAGCATGTGTCAAGATAAAAACTGAAGTGGAGGGGCCGGCCCAGTGGCACAGCGGTTAAGTCCACACATTCTGCTTCGGTGGCCCGGGGTTCGCCAGTTTGGATCCTGGGTGCGGACATGGCACCACTTGGCAAGCCATGCTGTGGGAGGCGTCCCACATGTAAAGTAGAGGAAGATGGGCACGGATGTTAGCTCAGGGCCAGCCTTCCTCAGCAAAAAGAGGATTGGCAGGAGATGTTAGCTCAGGGCTAATCTTCCAAAAAAAAAAAAAAAAAAAAAAAAAAAGTGGATCTAACTGCACAGAAGCCAGCCCTTCACAACCAAGTATCCAAAAGGCCAAGAAAAGAACAGGTGCGGGCACCCTTCACACATGACCAATACCACAGCTCAGATAGACGGGTTTCTCTATCAATGCTTCTCTAAACTGGTGTTTCTAGAACCTACCTGATCATAAGAACCATCTAGAAACTTTGTTTAAAAAAATACGGATTCCCAGGACCCACTCCAGACCTATAAAGTCAAACCCCAGGGAAGGGGGTCTGAGAATGTAAATACGTAGCCAGCACCCAGCAGAGTGTCAGGTAAGTTTCAGAAATAATGCTCCAAGTGAAGCAAAAAGTAACTCTTTAAAACTTTGTAATCACATAACTTCAAAGTTATAGGGTATGTGAGAAAATGCGGTTTAACTGAAGGAAGTTAGAGCCTTCTTTACCTAGTTAAAATTATGGAATATAGTCAACATGAAATGAGGAAATCAGTTTAACTAAAACTTGACAAAAACAAAACCTCCCTCCTCAGCTTAACCATATCTCTCCCGGAAGACCTCCCAAAAACCTCTCTCCCCTAAGGATTAAAGGGAGTCCCTGCACTGCTGCACCCAATGGTTATCACAGGCCTGAAAGGAAGTGACGGGGCTGAGGGCCCTTGGCCTCATCTCAAGAGAGGCCAGTCCTAAGCACAGGCAACCACTTCTAGGTCAGACGCCACAGGTGCCCTCCTGGTACCAGCCTTTCTACGTTTCAGCCTCCAGCTGACTATTCCATAGTCCTATTCACGGCCCAGCTCTATGTGGGGCCTTGCTACTCAAAGTGTGGTCCACAGAACTAGTAGCATCAATGTCATGGGTGGCTCTTTAGAAATGCAGAGTCCCAGGCCTGCTGAATCAGAAGCTGCATTTCAACAAGATTCTGGGTAAGTCCTGTGCACATTCAAGTTTGAGAAGCTCTGCTTTAAAGCACGGAGAGTACCAAGGAGAGATGTTACCCTCCACCCTTAACCCCCCAGCGGAACACCCAGATCATCAGCCCACCCAGTTCCGCTCCAGACTCTCAGAGACCTTCTTCCCTCACATTCTTTACTCAAGTCTTGTCAGTCTTGGTTTGTCTTGGGGCCAAATCACCATCAGCAGGGCCCAATGACTAGCTGACAACCCAAAGCCTAACTTTTAGGGAGTTAAAAGGAAGGAGCAAGTACTTGTCTCTACATTCTCATCTGGCTCTGCTATCGGCCTCCCTCAGAAAGCAGCAGCGTGGACCCCGTGACCGTAAATCAGCAGGGACAATCCAAAGTCAAACAATACCACAGAATGCTGGCTCTTTGGGTTCCAACACAATGTTAATGAGGTCGAGGTCACGGGCATGATTAGCTTCCTCTGAATCTTGGCACAGACTCCAACCCTCTGCCCTCTGGCCGCCCACAAAGGTTGACGCACCCTGGGTTACTAAGAAGATGGAGAGAGCAAACAACTCAAAGAACTTGAATGAACGGAGAGCAGAATGTATGAAGGGAGAGCACACAGCCCAGAGGGATGGCAGACCTGACAGACGACTGGGTCAGAATGCAAAATCATCTGCACGGGCTGAACAACATGCCAGAATGAGAAAGCTGAAATTTGACAAGAAGAAATGGGAAGTCCCATGGCCAAGATTTTAAAAGCCAAATACACATGTACAAGCTAGAGGAAATCTAACTTGATGGCAGTTCTTGTGTTAAAATGTTTAATTTTTTTTTAAACATGCAAGTTTTGTTTAGGGTCCATGAGTCTAGTTTCTACACCAAGGGGAGCAGCGGTCCCTCTGTAGCACAGCTGATCAGACTGTCCTGAGCGGTCCTCCAGCCACCTCTCCACACAGGTGTGTACACAACCTGTCACACCTTTTCATAAGCACTGCTTGGGTTCTTTTTATTCACTGTGGCCTCTTTACCTGGCCACAGCTCTTTTGGGGTTGGACTGTCATTTTAAACATTTCACACATCCACTTAGCTCCCTTTGATGCTGCCCTTTCTCTCCTAATTGAGAAAAGAACTATAGACCTAAGCACAAACTAGAAAAAACATGCTAACAGACAAGACAACCTAAGCACACCCATTTACCAAAAGGATTCAGATCAAAAATGACCTACCGTCACCTGTTTAAGCCGGCACGCTCTGCAATGCAGTACAGCACAAATCCATGCAGAAGCAGTAATTAAGTTGGAAATTACAAGCTTCCACTACAGAAGAACCCCGAGAGGACCACTATAAGGAGCAAATGACAGAGTAAGTATGTGCGTGGACATACTTCTCCATGTAGAATCATCTTCAGAATGGACGGTTAGCCATTGAAAACAAAATGGATGTGCTTTTAGATGGTTTTTAAAGTTGTGAGCCATGTTTTTCCTAAGTGTATATTTAATATACAAATGATAGTCACTTATAAACACAAAAAAAGACTGCTTACTGGTAAGTTTGTAGTTCCCACACTATCCAGTCTATTACTTTTAATTTCAGAAAATTTTATCTCTACGGGCAAGAGAAAAAAGTTGAAAACTGTTAAGAGGTTAATCTGTCCTGAATAAATGTGTGCCATGCACCCCTTACTTGAGGATTAAATGCGGCTCCTGTCTGTGCAGTTACAGCCATCCCAAACACCGACAAACTGCCCCCAAACTGGAAAACAATGTGAAATTCAGCCAAGTGCAGCCTGCCCCAGGAGAGAGGAAGCTTGAACTCCAGGTGCCCTTGACAACATAGCTCAGTGTGGAAAGAAAGAAAATGCTGAACAATAGAATCAGTAGAGGAAAAAGAGCCCCTCTAATTTTCTGGGCACGTAGGGAGGTTGCTGCTAAAGGGATATTTAAGATCTCACAGCTGGTTTGGGTTCTACTGAAACAATCTTAAAAAAGAAAAAACCTAACATTTCAGGAGAGGACATTTTAATTCAGTACTTCTTATCAATCAGATTTAGTTCAGTACGTATCTATCAGACAGATGTTTACACATTTAGATATAAAAGTGAAACACCTCCCAGATCACACAATGTTTATGAAAACAGACGAAGCAGACCCAGGTAAGGAGCGAGCTCTTCCCTCCCAGTCAGGGGAAGCTGCCCCTCTCTGGCTTTGCGTCACCCGGTGCCCAGTCCTGGGTGCATTTCTCCTCCATCCCGTTTGAGTAACCACATTTACAACAAATAAGAATGTCAATTCTTTATTTTCTTCTTTTTTTAAAGACTGGCACCTGAGCTAACATCTGTTGCCAATCTTCTTTTTCTTCTTCTTCTTCTTCTCCCCAAAGCCCCCCAGTACATAGTTGTATGTTTCAGTTGTGAGTGCCTCTGGCTGTGCTCAATTCTCTTTAAAGACAGAGACCTGCTGTACAAGGGATGAATCACAGATGTAAAGAGACAGACTGCGTTGTTGCCAAAACTGCCAATACTGTTTTGTACACTAAAAACCCGCTGGCAACTGTTACTACACTCCTATTTTAAAAGTAATGTGCTACTTATGGAAAAACCCGAAAAATCAAAAAATAAACAAAACAGTCACCTGTAACCCCACTAGTCCAAGATAACCAAGTTAAAACTTTAGTCTACGTCCTTCCAGTCTGTCGGTGGCCACCTGCTTTCCCTGCAATGGCACCTGGGGGAAGACGCATGGGTAGGTGAGGCGTTACACAGATAGGCAACGATTCATAATCCCCACTGGCCTTACCCTAAATCCACAGCAGTAAGAGGAGTATCGGTCGTGCATAACTCAGATAGCAAGCCTGTAATCCAACAAGCATTCCCTGGGGTCTACTTTGCACATTTGTCTTTACTCCACAAATGAATGAAATTCCAATTAACAGCAAGTGCCCTTGAAGGTCATATGGTAACTTCAAAAAAAAAAAAAGTGGCTAAGCCTGTCTTTGTGGACATGAAAACAAAAGTTAGCTCTCCCAGAACAAGTTCTCAGAGGCACCCACAGATATGGTTCCCGGCAAGGACCCTCTTCCTGGCTTGCAGAAGGCCACCTTCTTGCCGTGGCAGAGAGCAAGCTCTGGTCTCTCTTCCTCTTCTTATAAGGACACGAATCCCACCACCGGGGCTCCACTCTCATAATCTCCTCTAAACCTAATCACCTTCCAAGGGTCCCACCTCCAAACACCATCACACTGGGGATTGGGGCTTCAACACATGAATTTTGGGGAGGACACAAGCATTCAGTCCATAACATATATGTGTGTGTCGGGGGGCAGAGGATCAATTTTTTCAGTTAAACACATCGTAGTGATTAAATATATTTAGAACCATTCTATGTATATTCCTCTTAACTATCTCAGTTCAAAATAACATCACAGATCTCACCAAGTCTGCAAAATAACACCAGTCAGAGTCTGGTCATTCAAGGCCAAGGCCAGGGACTTGATTATCCCCAGTTAGGCCTATTCAAAGGATAAAAGAGAAAAATTCAGTCACAAGGACACAGATTACTCTCACCCTCAACACTAATAAACCTCAACAGACCAGGCAACCACTTGCCACTGCTGTAAAAATAGCTCCCTCTTTCATCTCTAGCTCCAGACCTCTCTTCCTGCCTGGGTATCCAACTCTCTGCTGGGCATCTCTCCCTGGAAGGCTCACAGTTCATTTCTGGAGTCTACTGAATTCATTACTCCTTGCCATCTCCCCAAACTGAGATTCCCCACAGCTGCTTATCTCAGTGATGGTGTCATGACCACAACAGTCACCCCGAACTCCCTCTTGCTGAGTGCCCACCCCTGGAAGATCACCAAAGAAGTGCTGTCAGTCTCTCCAGGCCTCTCCCCATCTCCTTCACCAAGTCCTTCCAAGATTCC